AAACACCTCCCAAGTAATGATTATTCTTCCTCCTTTTAGTAATCTCATAGTACTATCCCACCAATATTCAGATCAACATAAACACGACATAATTCACCTTTTGGTCATCAGGACAATTCATAACTTGAAATATTTTTTCCAATTCTTTAATCCATAATTCAGCCTTTTCTGGGTTATAACCTCTAAAAAATTGCGGAGGTTTGTTTCTCTTAAATTCAACTAAACCTTGTGATCCATTGGTTCCTTCAGGTCTTTGGTTCCTTAATAATGCAGCAGTCATGTCTCAGATAGCTTGTACTGCTTCTGTCAAATCGTTGTTCCTTCTATTATTTGTCATCTGGAATTATATAAGTTAGGATTCATAAGATATCGTGATAGGCTCATTTCATAGGTTACACATGAAACATTGCTCTAATACCATCTAATGTGTCGTCCTTTTTTTTTCTCATGTTGTTAACTATATTTTAAGACATTACTACTTTCTATTAAGTCTTGACAAAAGTAAGATATGAGATAAATGTTTATATATTTATATGTACAAAGATGTGAACTTTACAAGTTTACATTATCTTTATATCAGGAACAATTATTACAATTGACAAAAATTTTCTTCTAACAGTGGTTGAATGATACGTGTCTTCCATCTTGATGTTTCCATCTATTTATGTTGATATTTTAGTTGTAACATGCACAAGAAATAACAATAAGGAAGTGAGAACAATTATCATTTAAAATAGTATCATCTTATAATGATATATAAAATATATTTTTCAACTTGCTCAACTTATTTCATTTATTCCATTTATGAAGATTTAAATTAAATTTGTAGTGACTAGTCGGGATAAATGAGCCCAATTTTAATCACTCTCTCAGTGATATTTACTCATTTCAATCCCCAAGGTTCAACTTCCATCTACAATATCATCAAATCTTCATAAATAGATATTATTAATAATTAAATAATGTAAATATAAATTAATAAATAGGATCGATGCATCACTATAGATAAAATAAAATAAACAAATAGGACCAAGTACATAATTGGAGATAATTAAAATAGGACCAGTGCAAGACTGAAGATAAAATAAAATAAACAAATAGGATCAGTACATAGCTAAACATAAATAAACAAGACCAGTGTGTAACTGGAGATAAAATAAACAAGCATAAGGCAGAACCAGTACGTAACTGGAGATAAATAAAATATAAAGAATAAATAGAATGAGGTTAGGAACACCTCACTCCATAACCATAAGTAAAAATAAAGAAAAATATTGATAAATTTCTCATTCCCCTACCTTAAGAATTGCAGATGATGTACCAAAATTTTACAGGGGTGACTTATCTTTCTTTCATTTTCTTCCTCTCCCTTCCTCTTTCTTTCTTTCTTTCTCTCTCTTTCCCTCCCTCTCTCTTTCTTTCTTTCTTTCTCTCTTTCCCTCCCTCTCTCTTTCCTCTCCCTTTCTTCTTTATTTCTTTCCTTATCTCTCTTCTCTTTACCTTTCTTCTCCTTCAATTTTTCTTTCCTCCTAGGTAACCCCTCCCCCTCCCATTTATAGCCATATTTTTTTTTTTTTTACTTAATGAAGTCATTAAATGCATTTATGACATAGATAAGTCTTATCCATTAAGATAAGTTAACCCTATCTTTCATTTCAAGTTTTTTTTTTTTTTTGAGATGTTACAACGGACATGAGGTCATAATATACAACTTAGTCCTCGGCTAGGGGACTATATTCCAACACACTCATGGATCTTACATTGCTTAGTAGTCAAGGCCAAGTATAATTTATATACATCTTCATCCTTTTAACTCACAGAAGTGCCTTTTATGAACAAAATTGCGACAGACTAGAGCTTCAAAATGGATAATATATACATCATACATGAAAATTGACCCCAATGATGTTATCATAACAAACATCAGGCTAGGACACCTCGTTACTAAATGAAACATTTGCACTCACTGTGGGACCGAAAATAAAGTCTTATTTCACTCATACTCATTAGTCCTCGAATGGGGGTTATGTTCTAGAGTACTCATGAACATCGCTTAGGAGAGTAATAGTAGTTTATATACATCATCCTCTCTCAACTTATTGAAGTTTCAAAGCAGAAAATACTTTAGACATGAAAATTGACTCTAACCATGCTATCATAACATACATGAGACCCAAACACTTATTTTCGGACATGAAAATTGATCCTAACAATACTATCATAGCATTCATGAGACTCGAACACTTAATTCCTAACAAAATAACGTTAATCATTTTAATTTATACATAATATAATTTATGATTTTAATTAACCATAAAATGTTAATAAATAAGTATTTTTATGGATAATATATAAAACCAACTTATAATGAGAATTATAAAATTAACACCGTCAAAATTTTAAATATAGAAAGAATTTAGTGAGCCTAGCATAATAAGTTGTATTTTAAAAATTAGAAATTTATTAAAATATTAAATTAAACAAAATAAATAAATAAATAATAGAAATAAATTAAGTTTTTTCTTATTTGTTAAAATTACTTTCTATTGATTTTGTTTCAGACATGGTTGATGTATGATACTACTTTTATCTCGTAATGATTGCAAATCTAATCATTAAAAAATTTATATATTCACTAGTTTTCTTTTTCTAATGAAGCACAACTTAAAAAAGAAAAATAAATTCATAAAAATATGTTGTATATAGATTTTTATTTTTAAAAAAATAAAGTTGTTTTTCAAAGAATAACTATTGAAAATTTGACCAACTCCTTCCCTCTAACATCAATAATAATATATTAAGAACAATAGTAAATAATGTTACTCTTGTTCCACTCTTTCGCATTATTAAAAAAGAAAAAAAGAAAGAGAAAATATATTGAAAATAAACTAAGAAGAAAAATAAAAATACGAGTTAATTTATAATGTTTTTTAAATGTCTAAAACTGCAATTACTTTATAAGAAGATATTGTTGCAGTGAGACTCTGAGGGGAATCAATTAAGTATATAAAAAGAAAAAGACAAAATAAAATAAAATTGGAAGGATAAAAAAGTACTAATGGCGCGTGATCATCTGACATCAATTATATTGCATTTTTCATAATTCTTACGCGATCACTTCAATTTTATTTTTGAAAATATGTTTTATTTTTTTGAATCCGTATTTGTTTTCTTTGCTTTTGTTCCGTCGATAATATCTATTTTATTATTATTATTATTATTATTATTATTATTATTATTATTATTATTATTATTATTATTATCCTATTTCAATAGGTGATAAATCATTTAAAAATAGACATCAAACATAATTTTTTTATATATTTTCTAAAAATAAAATTATGATAATATTGAGTTTGACTTCTAAAACTGATAGTATATTATCTGTTTCTACGAATAATTTTTATTTCTTTACAGTCTTTAACAGTTAAACTTTTACATTTTTAACCATTATTCAATCAATTCATTTCCTGAAAAAAAAATTGATAATCAAGTGCACAACTTTTATTACAGAAATAAAAATAACAATAATTTTAAAGATTAAAAGATAACAATCAAAGATAAGATAACAATAATTTAGAAATGAAATTTTGTTAAATACGACAACTATCAAAGAATTCCAACTATCAAAGAATTCCCTCACCACACTTGTCGTCCAAGTAGGTATATATGTTTCAGAGATTAAAATGGTAAAAATAATTTTATGTGGATAAGAATAAGAGAATCTGATCATAGATTAAAATTATGGATTTAATTATGCCAAATAAAATATAGATATTCATGTCGATCATATAATAGATGATTGAGATATGTAATGAATAAACTCACCAACATAATTTACGAGGTTGATAAAATATATCGAATGTTAATCACAGAAACTGATTATTCGCCGAACCCATGATCAGAAATGAGGAGGAAAAACAGAAACAAAAGATTGTGATGTCTCATCCTTAGCCTCGACTAGGTTTCAGCTCAGGACTCTAAAATGATAGTGATGCATGAGGTTTTTATTTTTATTTATTTTTGTGTGTTGTTTCTTCTAACCCCACATGCGAATGCACCGAACTCACATGTACAGAAATAAAATAATATCTGAGATCTTAAGAGAAAATTTACTCTAATCAATAACTGATTGGGTAAGATTGATATTCAATTAGCCACCATGTACATACATACATATATATATATATATATATATATATATATATATATATATATATATTAAGAAAAATAGAAGATGATAAAAGAGAAAAAGGGAGAGATTTTTAGAGAGAAATGAAAAAATTATTTAAAAAAAAAGATAATAATTTTTAATAAATAAATAATAAAATGATTTTATATTTATTTATAATTTCAACTAATCAAAAAATAAAAAAACATATAATAATGAGATTGATAAGGTAAGTTGAAGAAGATTATCATACAATCAATTCATAAGAATTATTTTAAGAAAACAAGTTAATTGTTTAAGTTTGGTTTGATTAAAGATTTATAAATATTTAAATAAAAATAAAAATATTAAAATTTTATTTTTAAAATTTTAATTATATTAATAAATTATTTTTATTTAATAATTTAATATATAATTTATAATAAAATAGATTTATTCCTAAAATAAAAATTAAAAACTTATTTATTTATTATTATTATTTTTTGTAAATAATTTATTAATTTAAAATAATAATGAATCTTAATTATTAAATTTTAAAATAAGTGAATCCCATATATATATATATAATACTTTTATTTTTATTTTAAAATTAATTATTATTCTATAAAATAAATTATTCATAAATATATAATTAGTTTAACTTATACGCTTATAAAGATTATAATAAAAAAAGAATCAAACTAAAACATTTTTAATTTAATCTAATTTATTTTTCATATTTTTATATATTAATATATCAAATTAAACCTATTTTTACATTATAGTCAAAAGCAGTTACGATTATATATAGAGTTAAACATATTTTTACTGCTTATAGTTAGAAAGTTACTCGTTTTATTATTCGTGTTTTGCTGGGTTCCTTTAATACTCCACTTTGGAGCCTCAGCTTCCTTAAAAAAGAGAGCATAAAAAAACCACGGCAGTGTGCACACTAAAATCGTTACTCATTAAATGTACTCAGAATTCAAAATTATAAAAGGGAAATACACAATTACCTCTCTTTGAAAGCACAATGGACCCATTCCGCCAATTATTTTCTCAAAACTATCTAAATGAATGGTTGGTTCATCGGAGATGAAAACATGTCCTACCAACTATAATAATAGATGTATCAGTGCGTCCTGGCTGTTTCAGGTGTAATTACGAGAACCATACAACTATGCTAACTTTCTTAAATCAACGACATTTCATATAAAGTTGAAATAGAAAATGGAGTTTGCAAGATTTTGTTGTTGAGATATCTAATTAAAGTATTAGTCATTTAAAATAATTTTTTATTATAATAAATTATTTAAATGTTTTTATAATTATTTTATCATGTGATACGATATAATAAATTTTTTAACCTTTATAAAAAAAATTAATGAATTAAGGATTTTTTATATATTTTATTTTATAATTAATATAAAAAGTATTCACATGGAGAAAGATAATAATAATTAACAATGTTATGGTGTGAGGAGAACAATTGATAATGTTATTGTGGAAGAGATTGAAAATTGATGTCATAGTGACAGAGGAGGAGACCAAAAGAGAGAAGAGAAAAATACTATCAAAAGCTGGTTTCCGTGACGTAAATAAAATATGGAGAATAAGATGTTTTCACATGGGTTGAAAAATCGTCATTTACTGCACATAGGTTGTAAATAGAACTAATATAATATATATCTTCTATATAATTAAAATATCAACTAATATAAAAAATCTTTCACTATTTACAAAATTATTATTGCATTAAATCTTACATGAGTTTTTTCTTAAATAAATATTTTATAGCTTATGTAAAGTCCGTGAAATGTTAGAAAATATTGGTTGACACTAAAAATGTTATTAGACATGATAGATTAAAGAGAAATAATTTATTATATTTTAATTTTAATCATTATATATCAACATTTTTATTTTCCGAATCATAAAATTAGATATTAAAAAAATAGTGATAAAATGAATATTAGCCTCATGCTTTTGAAAAAATAAAATTAAAAAAAATCGTAAATAAAACACTCATGCCTCATACGACTAAGGATTTTTCCAAAGTGTGGCCAAGAATAAAAATATTGTGCGAAAAATGGTGACAGATCATCCCCTTCCACTAAAACTAAATTAAGACGTTACAAGAATAATGAGTCCACGGTTAAAGAGAAATGGGTAAGCTAAGAGAAATTAATATGCATAAAAAAAATGTCACCCTTGATTACTTTGTGTGGACTAGAGGAATTGGAGAAACAAAAAATCAGAAGATAGACAAAGACCTAAGAGTGAAAGAGAATAGTAATTATCTTTTATAAAAATGATTTGAAAATAGTTGAAGTTGATGAGTGTGAAAGAGGTGTAGATTATGATATCAGATTCAGTTTAAAATAAAAGTAAATAGATATAATAAAGATGCCAAAGAAATGTCTAAAAATATTTTGTCATTTGAAAAAAATAATTGTCTTTAAAAATGTAGAACAAAAACTCTTGAAAATATTTGGTTGAAAGAGTATTCCTAAAGTAATATATATATATATATATATATATATATATATATATATATATATATATATATATAATCAATTGGGTTTAGTTTATTTCTATTGCTATTTTTAAAAGAAAAAATATACTTATAAAACTTAACATCTAAGGCAAACTATTTGTACCTTGTGGGGCATCCCTGTCTTTACAAATTTAATTTAACAGAAAAAATAAAATGTTATACAAATTTAATAGTAAGAAAAATACAAAAATACGTTTCTTTAAAGTATAAAATAAGAAAGAAAGGAAAGATACATGAGGGATGTTGATGAAAATAGATCCCATCCCCTGCAAGCATGCGTCCAAAAGCAATCAATATAAATAGTCAATTGGAGTTGAAAACGTGCCATATATGGTTACTTCAGTTGTGATAAGGAGAACCATACAAATATTTGTTACTATTTTCTCTCTTGTGACTATTGCAATATCATACGAGGTCTATTGTTCGGCTTTCTCCATCTCCTGCTTGTCACCCTCTCCACCACCAAGCTAATACTGCATAAGAGTTTCATGCTTGATTTCATTTCATAACGTATTTAATTCAAATATAGTGGAGAACATTGTTGGGATAAAGATATTTGATTAGCTAAATTATAGGTTTGTATAGCAGTACAAAATATTGTATAATCAGAACTTTCTATATTTAGTCCTGATTTGTTAGAGTAAAATACTATAAGATCATAGTATATGTGTACAAAAATATAATATGAATAAAAATTATAGAATGAATTCTATATTTTTCAATTTGGTATCAGACCTTATAACTTTTTTCTTTTTCTTTCAAAATTCTTGAAGATCTTAACCGGAGAGATGACAGAAAAACTAATTCCAATGGTTGTTCAATCTAAATGTGTCTTCAATGCAGACATCATCCTAAATGAATCCAATTATGACGTATGGTCACAACTAATGGAGATGCACATTGTAGAGAAGGAAAAATTGTCCTATATCCGTGGGAAGGTGAAACCTCCAACAGAAAACGATGAGGGATATGAAAAATGATATGCTGAAAACCAAAAAGTGAAAAGATGGTTATTGATGTCCATGAAGCCAGAAATTATGAAAAGATATATTCGCTTACCCACTGCCCTCGATATTTGGAATGCTTTGTCAAAGGCATTTTATGATGGAAGTGATGAACTATAGGTGTTTGCCCTGAATCAAAGGGCATTCAATGCAAAACAAAATAATAGAACCTTAACTGAATATTATGGGGAGTTGGTTGAGATTTTTAGGGATTTGGGTCATCGTGACAAAGTAGTCATGAAGGACCTTGATGATGTGAAGTCATATCAGAAGTCCATTCAAAGATTAAGGGTGCATATATTCCTTGTTGGACTAGATGATGATTTTGAGCAAGTTCGTGGAGAAATCTTGCACAAAGAAGTGACACCTGATTTAGAAGAATGATATGCATTGATCCGAAGAGACACAGTCCGGCGAACAACGTTGAAAACAGAAGATATGATTTTTGATTTCACAGCTATGATGACAAAGAAACAACCAGTAAATCACCACAGTAAATCGAAGCAATCAAAAGATTTTGAAAAAGGTAACTACAAGTGTACTCAGTGTAATAAGGATGGACACACTAAGGAACGATGCTATGAAATCATAGGATACCCCGAGTGGTGGGATCACAGTCGAGCATCGAAGAAGAATTAAAAAAGAAATCCAACTGTTGTTGTAACTGTCATTGACAAAGAGGACGACAAAGGCATGATGCTTGCTACAATCGCAGGTAGTGATGATTCTAATGGTAAGGCTTTAATAAGCACATCTACCGTTATGAATAAGGCATGGATAATTGACTCTGCATGTTCTGATCATGTGACTTTTGATGTTAGACAAATTAAAAATCTTAAACCTTCCTCACAAAAAAGTATATCCATAACCAATGGTAGTAAATCCACTATTATTGGAGAAGGAACTGTCTCTATTTCAAACAATTTGAATCTTGATACTGTCCTTGTTGTTCCTTCTCTTAAATATAACTTATTGTCAGTCTCGCAAATAACCAAAGTTCTTTTATGTGTTGTAATTTTTGGGCCTGACTCTTGTGTTTTTAAGGATATTCAAATGAGGAAGACGATTGGTTGTGGTATTAGGCGAGGAAGGTTGTATTACCTGGACCTGACAGAAAAAAATTCAAAGAGACTTGGTCAAGTACTAGCAACAAAAGGGTCTCAAGAAGTAAGAAAATACGAGGATATCTGGTTATGGCATAAACGTCTAGGACATGCATCTTTTGGTTACATAAAGAAATTATTTCCAAATGTATTTGACCAAGTAGACACTTCAACTTTTTATTGTGATGTTTGTGAGCTTGCAAAGAGTCATAAAACACATTTTTCTTTAATTTTAAATAAAAGTTCTCTTCCTTTTATGATCATTCACTCTGATATCTGGGGTCCATCTAAGGTTACAACGTTGGGTGGCTCAACGTGGTTTGTAACGTTTATTGATGATTATACTCGAATGACTTGATTATGTTTGATGAAGTCTAAAAGTGAAGTTGGAGGACTATTTCAGAAATTCTGCAAAATGATTGAGACCCAGTACAAAGCACAAATTCAGGTATTGCGCAGTGACAACAGAGGAGAATATATGCAATCAGAACTTCAACATTTTTTAGTAGCCAAAGGAATTGTTCATCAAAGATCTTGTCCAAGTACTCCACAACAGAATGGGGTGGTAGAACGAAAGAATCGTCATCTATTGGAGGTGGTCCGAGCTGCACTAATTGGAGCTCACATGCCAACAATATATTGGGGAGAAGCTCTCACATATGCAGTATACACTATAAACCGAACACCGTCCAGGTCTCTTGAGTATAAAACACCTCTTCAATCACTTACAGATGCAGTAGTAAGTCCTAAAATTGCTGAACTAACACATAGAATTTTTGGTTGTATTGCTTATGTTCACTTACACAAGCATCAGAGAAGTAAGTTGTCTCCTAAAGCTGAAAGGTGTGTGTTCCTTGGCTATGCGGATCACCAGAAAGGATATTGGTGCTACAATCCACAAACCAAGCAAATGTTTACTACTATAAATGTAGTTTTTCATGAAACCTTGATATATTTTTCCCCCGAGTCTGAAATTCAAGGGGAGAATTATGATGAAGTTCAGACTTTTGTTCCTCAAGAAATTGATATTGATATCATATTGGAGAAAGAAAGTTACAAAGTTGTATCAAGAGATTATGAAAGTATGCAACAATGTTATGATCAACAACCACATAATGAGGAAGATTTTGAGCATGTTGAGATCGAAAATTTGTCTATTGATGCTAATGATATACCACATCAATCGTCCCTCAAGAACCTAATACAGAAAAAAGAATTCTGTCAAATCGTGTAACTAGAGGTATCCCTAAGCCTACTTATGATCCTGACCTCACCAGTAAGACAAGATACCCTAAGAGTAATTATGTTTGTAACTAGAATTTGTCTAACTCAAATATCGCATTTATAAGTCAATTATCTACTGTATCTATTCCTAACACTGTGCAGGAAGCTTTAGCTGACTCCAGGTGGAAGGATGTTATGAATGAGAAAATGAGATCCTTGCAAAGAAATAAAACATGGGAATTAGTAGATTGTCTAGTTGGAAAGAAACCAGTAGGATGCCGATGGGTGTATACTGTGAAATTTAATGCAGATGGCACAATTGAGAGATTCAAAGCTAGATTAGTGGCAAAGGGGTACACACAAGCATATGGAATAGATTACACTGAAACGTTTACTCCCGTAGCCAAAATTAGTACAGTTCGAGTATTGTTATCTCTAGCTGTAAACCTTGATTGGTCCTTACAACAATTTGACGTAAAAAATGTCTTCTTACACGGGGAATTGTTTGAAGAAGTTTATATGGAGCTACCAGAAGGATGTGGGATCCCGAATACACATAGCAAGAAGGTATGCAAGTTGAAGAAGTCATTGTATGGACTAAAACAATCGCCACGAGCATGGTTTGGTAGATTCACCAAGTCAATGCTTGCTTTTGGATACCAACAGAGCAACCAAGATCATACCTTGTTTCTAAAGAAAAAAGAAGAAAAGATTACAATTCTTATTGTCTATCACTACAAAAAAAAACGCTTATTATCTACGGGTAAAATCCGTAGGTAATGACAAAAATCCGTAGGTAATGTCACTTTACCTACGGATTTCTTTCTGTAGAAAATCCGTAGGTAATGCACTCGCGGTAATTACCTACGGATTATAATCCGTAGGTAATGCACTCACCTTAACAAAACAAAATATTTTTATTTATTACAACCCCCTCCCTTTATATTATATTTTTATTATTTATTATATTTTCGAAACTTTGAATTATTATTAGATTAAGGGAATTGTCATTGGCAGGATTCGAACCCAAGTACCTCGAGTTGGAGGTCGATACTCCAACCACTAAGCTATTAGGATATTTTAAAAATAATTTATAAATAAATTATATTTATATTTATCCGTCTAAATATATAAATATAAAAAATATACATAAATATAAAATATATATAAATATAAAATATATATAAATATAAAATATATAAATATAAAATATATTTATATTTTGATATATTTATATATTTATACATTTATACATTTGTATTTATATATTTATATTTATATATTTATGTATTTATATATTTATCTATTTATATATTTATGTATTTATGTATTCATATATTTATGTATTTATGTATTTATGTATTTATGTATTTATATATTTATGTATTTATATATTTATATATTTATATATTTATATATTTATATATTTAAATATTTAAATATTTATATATTTATATATTTAAATATTTATATATTTATATATTTATATATTTAAATATTTATATATTTATATATTTATATATTTATATATTTATATATTTATGTATTTATGTATTTATGTATTTATGTATTTATGTATTTATGTATTTATATATAAATATATTTATATATTTGTATATTTATATATTTGTATATTTGTATATTTATATATTTGTATATTTATATATTTGTATATTTATATATTTGTATATATATATATATATATATTTATATATTTATATATTTATATATTTATATATTTTTATATTTTATATTTATATATTTTATATTTATATATTTACATGAATTAATATAAGTATAATTTAGTTGTAAATTATTATTAGAATGTCCTAATAGTTTAGTGGTTGAAGTATCAGTTTTCAACTTTAAAGTACTGGGTTCGATTCTTGGTAGTGACAATTCTTTTAGTTTAATATAATTTACCTACGGATAGTAATTACGTAGGTAATTACCTACGGAATTATCCACGGATTACATTACCTACGGATAATATCCGTAGGTAATGTAAAATTTACCTACGGATTTGTATCCGTAGGTAATAGGGTTTTTTTTTGTAGTGTATGTTGATGACATGATAGTTACGGGAAACGATCTAGAGGAATGCAAGACATTGAAAGAGTACTTGGCAAAGGAATTTGAGATGAAGGATCTTGGTCCTTTGAAATATTTTCTTGGAATTGAGGTCTCAAGATCAAAGTCAGGTATTTTTCTCTCACAACGAAAGTATGCATTGGATTTACTAAAAGAAACTGGAATAACAGCATGCAAACCAGAAAATTCTCCAATTAAAGAGGGATTGAAGTTGTGCATTGAAGAAGATCAAACTCTAACTAACAAGGGAAGATATCAGAGACTTGTAGGGAGATTGATGTATCTCTCACACACTAGGCCAGATTTAGCTTATGCTCTTAGTGTGGTTAGCCAGTTCATGCACAATCCAGGTGAAAAATACATGGATGCTATTATACGGATTTTAAGGTATATAAAAGCTGCTCCTGAAAAAGGAGTTATGTTCAAGAAGAACTCCAACTACAAGGATGTGATGGTTTATACTGATGCAGATTGGGCAGGTGCTCTTGATGATAGAAGATCAACCTCTGGATACTTTACATTTGTAGGAGGTAATCTTGTCACATGGAAAAGCAAGAAGCAGAAAGTTGTAGCTAAATCCAGTGCAGAAGCTGAACTTAGAGGAATGGTTATTGGACTTTGTGAAGGTTTGTGACTCAGACTACTTCTCCAGGATTTAGGGTATGCACATACACGTCTCATTCAGTTGTATTGTGATAATAAAGATGCGCACGACATTGCTCACAACCCTGTCCAACATGATCGGATGAAGCATGTGGAGGTTGATAGATTTTTCATCAAGGAAAAGCTTGATAAAAATATTTTGAAATTGTCAAATATTCGATCTGAAGATCAGTTAACAGACATTTTTACCAAAGTTGTGACAAGTCAGATTTTTAGGAGATTTAATGGACAAGTTGGGAATGTATGAAATCCATTTATCAACTTGAGGGGGAGTGTTGGGATAAAAATATTTGATTAACTAAATTATAGGTTTGTATAACGGTACAAAATATTGTATAATCAGAACTTCTTATATTTAGTCCTGATTTGTTAGAGTAAAATACTATAAGATCATAGTATATGTGTACAAAAATAATATGAATAAAAATATGTACAAAAACTCTTGAAAATATTTGGTTGAAAGAGTATTCCTAAAGTAATATATATATATATATATATATATATATATATATATATATATATATATATAATCAATTGGGTTTAGTTTATTTCTATTTCTATTTTTAAAAGAAAAAAATATACTTATAAAACTTAACATCTAAGGCAAACTATTTGTACCTTGTGGGGCATCCCTGTCTTTATAAATTTAATTTAACAGAAAAAATAAAATGTTATACAAATTTAATAGTAAGAAAAATACAAAAATACGTTTCTTTAAAGTATAAAATAAGAAAGAAAGGAAAGATACATGAGGGATGTTGATGAAAATAGATCCCATCCCCTGCAAGCATGCGTCCAAAAGCAATCAATATGAATAGTCAATTGGAGTTGAAAACGTGCCATATATGGTTACTTCAGTTGTGATAAGGAGAACCATACAAATATTTGTTACTATTTTCTCTCTTGTGACTATTGCAATATCATACGAGGTCTATTGTTCGTCTTTTCTCCATCTCCTGCTTGTCACCCTCTCCACCACCAAGCTAATACTGCATAAGAGTTTCATGCTTGATTCCATTTCATAACGTGTTTAATTCAAATATAGTGGAGAACATTTCACCTCGCAATTCTTATTCTGGGCCACGCGTTTCTGATATTTTATTTTGCACAACATATGGTGCATCTTCATTTAATTATATGTTTTTTTTGAACTCTTTGCGGGAATAATAAATATGGACATTCAAATGTTATTTGAACGGTGTAAAAAACATATTATCATGAATTATAAGGGTTTAGTCCTGTTATATATTATTAAGTGGTTAAAATTATTATTAGTTAAAAGTAAACTGAAATCAAATCTAACAATTCTTGTAAAATTTTAAACCTAAATAAAAAATAATGTACATGAGTTGCAAGTAAATTTTACCTATGCCATTCGTGTTCTGCTAAAGATGAGTTTTTCATAAGATAAATGAAAAATCTCAACCACCAATTAATTATGCATCGGAGGAAAAATGTGGTACGAACAAATTGAAATCAAAATGCATATCAAAACAATTGCAGTCTTGTCACACAACCAAGCATCTCATGACACACCATGTGTGACAGTTTGTCTTTGGACTTGCTTACTAACGCATCTTTATTCGGATCCAACTTCAAACGATCTAACCCTCTAGCCATTTTGGATCTTCAAACGATTTAACCCTCTAGCCGGGGATGGATTTGAGAAAAAAAAATTATAATTATTATAATTATTTTTATTTTAATTATTAATATGATTATTATAATTATTTTATGATTATAATTATTTTTATTATTAAAATAATTATTAGTATTATTATTATTATATATTTATTATTATAATTATCATTATTATTATTACTATTATTATTAAACGTGAGAAGAAATTTTATAGTTGATTTAAAATAAAAAATATTAACTAGATAATTTAATAAAAAAATTTAATATAATTTAATTGGATAAATTTATTCTATCAATATATTTTTTAATTTATTACAAATGTAAATATTAAAGTGAATTGTTTAAGAATAAATTAAGGAAAAAATTAATAATTAAATAAAAAATATTAATTTTATATTTTTATTACTAAAATAAAATTAATGATGTTTATATTAAAATAATATATATATATATATATATATATATATATATATATATATATATGTGTCACTACAAGAAATTTTAATATTACCGACGGTCAAAATTAGTCGGAAATTTGATGGTCAGTAAATATTACAGACGAATTTAATAGTCCGAACGGATATATCCATCGTTAAATGTTTTATGAAATTACCGACGGACATCCATCGGTAATATATTTATTATTTATTAAATATTTTACTTATATAGCTTATTTATTTTATAAAAATACCCTTCCCTTTATATTTTTATTATTAATTATTTTCCCCGAGAATTATTATTGGCGGGATTCAAACCCGAGTACCTTACCTTAGAGTTAGAGGCGATACTCCAACCACTAAGCTACCAGAATTTTTTGATAATAATTTACAAATAAATTATATTTATATACAAATATATTTATATATTTATATATTTATACATTTATATATTTATACATTTATATATTTATACATTTATATATTTATACATTTATATATTTATACATTTATATATTTATACATTTATATATTTATATATTTATATATTTATATATTTATATTTTATATTTTATATATATTTATATATATTTATATATAATTAAATATTTTTATATATTTATATATAATTAAATATTTATTTTTTAAAATTATTTAATTTAAGAAATTATTATAAATTAATCTAATTATGATTAAATTAAATTATTAAATAAAAAATATTTAATTTTTTAATTAGGTGAATATTTACTAATTGTTAATTTACCGACGAAAATATCCGGTCAGTAATTTATGAGATGAATTTACCGACATATCCGTCGGTAAATTCATCTGTAAATTACCAACGATTTACCGACGGCTATATCCATCTGTAAATTACAGACGGATTTATCGACGGATATATCCGTCGGTAAAATCAAATTCCACAAATATTTTATATCCGTTGGTAATTTCCGTCTGTAATAATTATTTTCTCGATGGATTTAAATCCGTCGGTAAATATCCGTTCGATATACTGCGATTTTCTTGTAGTGTGTGTGTTTTACAATAATAAAATTATTTATTATATATTTATTTCAATATATTCATGCTAATATATTGATAGATTTGCAATGTGGTTGTATTATGATATAATAATAATAATTACAAGTAATATTGTACATGGTAAACATAAAATATCACATTTATTTTTTCTTGTTTATGATAAAATGAAAAGAGAAAGCTTTGTTAAAATCAATCTGATGAAATCAATATATTCAAACTATCATCAATTTCTTAAATCAGTGAAACTATCTTTTTTTAAACATAATAATCCCATAAGCAAACACATCATTAATATTAGAGACAAAGATATACATAAATTACTCATTATTATTTTAAATAATAAGTGACTTATAAATATTTCGAAACAATAATTTAAATGAGATTTGAATTTTTATTTTTTTTATAGATGATATCAGTATATATTAGGATCTCTTACTAATAAGATTAAAAATAATTTATGTCTCTATTAAGAGCAACTTTTCACCACCGGCGAAGCCGCATGGAAAAAGCACAGTTAGGGGAAGAATCTGATAAACAAACATAGCAATTAACTTTTTTTCTTATCATTTTATATAATTATTATAGCTTTAGGATGGAAGAAGTGGAAAAATAAATTGCCTCCATCAGTAGATATATCTTCAAGGTGGACGCTTTGATTTAATCTTAGACTCAACAATAGTGTGTTTTCCATATTTATGTGAATTGCAATGACTTCTAAAACCATTATCCATGCAACTCCTCTTCATCTCAGGTGATAAAGACATATGATGTCATAGGTGCGAAAACACAGTGTATGTTATGATATGAGACACTATTTGCAGAAGACGAAGAAAGAGAGAAGAGAGAGGAAGTGTCTCACATATGTGGCGAATCTCGCTCGTTGGATATTTCAAACAAATATGCAATCCTTTCTCATTATAATTATAATTATAATTATAAATATTGTTGATAATTTAAATATGAATTGAAGTCTCTTATTGATTAAAAATAAAAAATTTGAGTAATTTATAGGTGAGAAACATGTATAACTTATTGATTAAAAATAAAAAATTTGAGTAATTTATAGGTGAGAAACGTGTATAACTTAATATTTTAATATTTTATATTAAAAGTGATATCATATTCTCTTATGGTTAGCTTGTGTTCCATTGATAAGAATCTCCTTATTATTTAACTCCCCTTAAAATACCCAATAATGGTATCTAGTTCGTCTGGTGACTAACTTGCACTACTACAAAATATGTTTTCAACGTCGCCATTTAACGTCGGTTAAAGCTGAGCCGATGTTAAATACACTTTCAACGTCGGTTGATTAAAAACCGACATTGAAAGTTGAATGTTGGACATATTCAACATCAGTTTTTAGTCAACCGACGTAGAAAGTACTTTCCATGTCGGTTCCAAATGAACCGACGTTGAAAGTCTTTTAATTGACACAAAAATTAGAGAATTGTCACTGACAGGATTCAAACCCTTTAGAGTTGAAAGCTTATACTCCAATCACTAAACTACTATAATTTTCCGATAATAACTTACAAATTAATTATATTTATATACAAATAAATATATATCGGTGTAAATATATATTTATTTATATATATTTTCTGGAAGAAAGTGTTTTTATTTTTTCTCAGCCAAAAATTCACTTAAGTTAGAGAATTGTCACTAACGATGAATCGAACATAGTATTTTAAAGTTGAAAGTTGATACTCCAACCACTAAACTACTGTAATTTTTTGATAATAATTTACAAATAAATTATATTTATATACAAATAAATATATATCCAGTGTAAATATATATTTATTTATATATATTTTCTAGAAAGTGTTTTTATTTTTTTCAGTCAAAAATTCACTTAAGTTAGAGAATTGTCACCGATAAGATTTGAATCCGAGTATTTTAGAATTGAAAGTTGATATTCCAACCACTAAACTACTATAATTTTTTTATAATAACTTACAAATAAATTATATTTATATACAAATAAATATATATCCGTGTAAATATATAAATATAGAATATATAAATACAAATATATTTATATATTTTGATATATTTATATAGTTATATATTTATATGTTAGATGTGAGGGCGCGTTCGAGGGTGAAAGTGAGATTGACTCTCGCTTGAGTGAAAATACGTTAAAGCTCACGGAAATTCACTCGCTCAAGCCTTGCTTGAGCGAAAATTGGTATTTTTCGCTTGAGCGAATGTGTCGCTTGAGGGAATGATGCGTTTCCCAAATTTATTTTATATCATTATATAAATAAATTATAAATATTATATTTTGTCATTAAATTACAAACCCATATAAAGAGACCCGCTCACAAATTTGGCATCAAATTTTGAAAACCCACTCGACACACACTTTCACCTTCGAGCGTGCCCTCACATCCAACATATAAATATATAATTATATAAATATATCAAAATATATAAATATATTTGTATTTATATATTTACACGGATATATATTTATTTGTATATAAATATAATTTATTTGTAAGTTACTATCAAAAAATTCGAGTAGTTTAGTGGTTGGAGTATTAGCTTCAGACACTAAGGTACTCGGGTTTGAATCCTGTCGGTGACAAAAAATTAATTTGGTAATGCTTTAAACTTCAAGAAAATATGATAAATAATAAAAATATAATATAAAAGAGAGGGGGATTTCTAGATAAATAGAGGGGTTTAAAATAAATAAAAGTTTTCTATTTGAAAAATCAGACTTTCCACGTCGGTTCCGGAATCGCCGTTGAAGGCCTTCCAAGCCGACGTGGAAAGCCTTATTTGTAGTAGTGTCGGTTGACTATGAATGACCCATAACCTTAATGTTTTGAGTTGAAAGTGGTGTCATATTATATAGTTGGTTTATACATTTATATGTATAAATATATCAAGTCTACAAGTTTATATTGTTTTCATATTAGAAATAAATATTAAAATTGACAGGTATTTTTTTTCTTTGAGAGTGATTAATTTATCAATGATATTTATAACTTGAAAGTTTCATTAATTTAAATTGATATTTTTAGTTGTAACATGCACAAGAGATAAAATAGGAAAGTGAGAATAAATATATAAAATAATATTATCTCAAAATAACATACAAAAAGTAACTTATCAAATTCATCAACATATGTCATTTATTTTATAGTACGAATATTTGAAATAAATTTGTAGTGACTAATAAGGATAAATGAGCCCAAAATGAATCTCTCTTTAGTGATATTTAGTTATTTCAATTACCGAGATCCAACCTCCAACCTCCAATTATTTAGTGATAAACACTAGTACAAAATAGGCTTTTAACATCGGTTCTAGAACCGATGTAGAAAGTGTGACTTTCCACATCGGTTGTAAGGAACCGATGTAGAAAGTCTAATATTTTTATTTATTCATAACCCCTCTCCAATTACCCTATCTATTGATAGGTAGGTCTCTTCTCCCTTTTATATTATATTTTTATTATTTATTATATTATTTATATTTTTTAAG